CGCAAAGTCGCAACTGTAGCACTAAAAATCGGGGTAGTCACAGTTCGAGAGGAATACGGTGGTGAATGTCGCCGGCTGTTCCAGACCTACGTATAGTCTCAAACATAGCTTCGCCTGGTTTTGCTCCCTGTGGTTTTGATCGTCATTCCGGCACCGTGAGTCGACACCCCGCCGCTGACGCTGTCACCGGTGCCGTGCTTTCTTATTTCTAAGGCTTAAGATGCTGTCTGCATGTTAGCTCTGATGTCTTCATCTTGCGACGACCAAGGAAGATGTGATTCAAGCGTGTCAATCGAAGCATTCAACGCCAATGACATAACCGGGATTCGAGCTGGTCCCCCATCCCCACTCCCCATGGGAGCCAAAGGCCCTTACCACACCACTATAACTCGCCTCGAGATATCAAGGGACCACACCAGATGTATGATTTATGTGATTTATTGCATTCACTTGTGATGAACTAACAATGGAATGAATGTGCGACTCCAGACACTAGGAGGGTGGTTAGAACTAAAGCTGTAATAAGTGTTGTAGCACTTCATAAAAAACGACTCTGCATATGCCAAATCAGACTTAATGGTGTGCTTGACCGTCGGATTTTGGGTGGCATGTGCTTTCCTTAATTTCGTCCTTGCTCTCGACGTTTAGCCCAGGCATGCTCTCAAAGGGTCAGTAACGGTTGCCTTTTACCTTCTTCCACTCTACGTACGGCCCTGGGCAATGGAACACTTCAGGAAATTTTTGAAGGCTTTATGAGGGATTGAAGACAGTTTTAGGGTAGAAGGCACCAAACGTTTAATGTAGGGTAGAGGGCATCAAACGCCTAGGAGCGTTTCCAGAACTAAGCAATCGGTGCGGGACACAACTCAGAAATTTTCACGAAAAACTTTTGAGCACGCTGCAGAACGGCACAACTTCTCGCTTGACCTTAACAGCGTCGAATATTCTGGATCTGACTGGTTGTACGACTCTATCCTGAACTTTAAATAATTTAAGGCACTTCTTTGAAAGGGAGTGTTTCACATTTGTATGAGGTTTTGAACTGAGACAATCACTTTGCAGATCACGCAAAGCAGCTCACAGCCCTGTCCTTCCTAAGACTTAAAACCGTCTGGTTTCTGAACTAGGTGCCCGTAAATTTGTGCAGACTGTTTCGTGCAGGCTTTTCCAAGGTCGCCCATGCATGGATGACACCACAGAAGCGTCACGCAAATTTGCCTTTCCCTTTCAATTTACCTTACCTTGCGCTGGCGTCTAGGGGTGGGGCCACGGGACAGGCAAGGAAGCAACTGCCCCTTGACATTTGCCTGGGAGACGCATATATCCCCCTGCCCGGTGTTCGCAAGGTGTGACAAAACGCGCGGGAACCCACCCGTAAAGGCGTCCAGCTTCTGCGTCTTCTCATGGCCCTCCCCGTTATGTCAGCCGCAGCTGAATGCAGGCTCAATGCGCGAACGTTGCTTGTGGGTGACGCAGAGCGGATCAACGCAGCATCAGTGAGCATCGAGTATCGCTTTCGGCTGGATCAAGTAGATGCCGCTCATGCCGCTGTCGCTTGTGGACATGCAAGTGCGCCACGTTCGAGAGCGTTTGGCTGCGCTTAGGGCTGCACAGTAACGGTGATATAGCCTTGGGGGGGGGGGGATGTGAACTCCGTGATCAGCAAGTAGCGTTCCGCTGAGATGCTTGTGTTGCCACTGTAATAAATGATCATCTCTGTTATCATCTTTCGATAAGCAACAATTGTTGAATGTGGCAGCCCAGCCATAGCGTAGCTCCGGGATTTAAAAAAAAATGCACGAAATATCACCTTGCGAAACTGCTGCACCCGGACATACAACGCTTATGTACTGCCAAGGCCAACGGGTGTAGATGTGCTGAAAAGAAGCCACAGTACCGTGAAAGGGTTTTCACGGCTGGGAGCAAGCAACGTCCTTCAAGTTGGGAGGAGTGAGTGAGATGGCTATTTGGACTATTTCTTTCCATTCAACGCCCAGGGGGCAAATAATTATATTTCAGAAAGCTTTGGGTGTCAGTCCCTCTCCCGCTCCCCGGCTCCCGCGCCGCCATGTCTTACGGTAATGAGGCGCAACGCACATGAGGAATTTGCGTAAGGATTGCTTTTTAGGAGAACGCCACAATTAAACGCTTGATTCCTGGCTCAATTTTCATATTCAAGTGTTATGATTGTTTTACCACCGTGCCTGTCATCTGTCAAGGTAGTTTTGCTTGGGAGTTGTCCTGTACTTTTGACAGGTCTATTATTGTGTCTCAGTGTAGTTTTGGAATCGTACTAAAGACAAATTATTTGGGAGTCCGTGGAGTTTTTGGGGGAGCGTTCTTTGTAGTTCTGCATGGTTTCTCAGCAGTATGTCTGCAGCTTGTGAGTGCACAGTTTCCTCAGGCTCAGAAGTGCTTTATGTCCGTGTAGTATCGGCCGCTCTCACGGCCCGACCGAACACTGAGTCAGGTATTACCGTGAGTATTTTCCCAATACCTCGGTAATAACAACAAAGTAAAAATATAACGTCCGAGGCGTCCGAACACGTCGCGCCCCCGCCACGCGCCACCTTGTCAAGGCCAACTCTCCCGCGCAACTCCACTTGCCTGGCGCGTAGGCTCCCTAAACAACTGCCGTATACCACAGTCATTATATTCGGGGTTTCCGAGCAAAAATTTCCGCGGATTTCCTGTGGGTTTCCCATTAGAGAAATGGCAGCTTTAGCAAAAATTGTGGATCCTTTGTGAGTTTACCTGTACACCTGTCAGGCAGCATGCATGCGCATTAGGGACTTCTGGCGCAAAATGAGTGACTTGGAGATCTGTAGAAAATCCGGTTAACGCCTTTGGAAAGTACAACATACCGCGGTGCGATGTGCTGTCTCAAAAGAGCATAGCAAACCACACCAGCTCGATATATATATATATATATATATATATATATATATATATACATATATATACATATATATATACATATATATATATATATATATATATATATACATATATATATATATATATATATATATATATATATATATATATATATATATTGGATTGCTTGAGGGCCAACAGGATGGTGTTCGAACGCGACATAGTCAAGAAGCACGGGCCCCTGACCTCCAACGTTCGGCAGATCAGCTTCTGACCCCTGACCTCCAGCGCACCGCAGATCAGTTCCTGACCCCTGACGTCCAGGGCACCGCAGATCAGCCCCTGCGGCACGTCAGGCAGAGTCGAGCTGCGTCCTGTCAGGCCGAGTGACTCGAACTATCGATTTAGCAGGCCTCTAGCTGCCCAGGGTAAGCACCAGACGGGACGGGGCGGGGAAGGTTCGAGTTTCGCGCCACAAGTGCCAGGAATTGAAAGCCTTTATGGGTGCTGAAGCACATCCCTTGGGCCACAGATGTCTGCGTGGCAATGGCGTAGCCCGATTTCACCCGAGACGTGTCCAGACCGGGTTGCAGGGGGTCCATCCCTTGTTACTACTAGGGGATTGTTTGTTGTTTGGATGATTTGTTAGGTTCGGGATCTTATTTTCATTCCTCGTAGAGCCATTTTAATGTTTTAGAAGCACTACGGGCCTTTTTACCGTCCAAAAGTTTCCAAAGCCTTCGTCCCCAGGAAGCCCCGTCACCTCCAAAGGGGCGGGAGGATGGCCACATAAGCCTTCCCGTTGGGTATGACACTACCGAGTGGTCATTTCTCAAAACATATTTTGAATACCTGGTATGGCCAACCTAGGGTGCGGAGAGCTTGCTACATAAAGTTTATTTCTTGCGCCTAGCACGTGTCGCTCGATGTATAAACACGTCTATCCAGGTCTCTGGATGTTTACCCCCGACGTTGTTGCCGACGTTGTTGCTGTTGTTGCCATGCGCGCAACGACACAGCCGGGTTGGGAAGCCAGTGCGCTTTGACCAGTTTTCAGCTGACCTTTCTGGATCAGCCGGGCCAGCAATGCGCTGCTCCGGAGTCGTGCTCAGTGCTGTCGAATTACGAGCTCAGCATCCTTTCCCCAGACCACAGAGGCGACAAAACCGTCAACACAGAGGCCATCACCGGCACTCTGCGCCCTAATGGCCACTTTAAAAGCAGCAGGACCCACTCAAGCAGTGAAAATGATCAGTGTGTTTGGTCCCCTACCTATATGTCAAGCGCGACGTACATCTTGGAGCACCCTGGTATGAAGCGCCAGTAACTACGGTGATCGACTAGAGCCCATGGGCGATGATGCAACCAGGTTCGAACCTAGGTAACGCATGTGGCAGCAAAAGTTTTTGTCTCACTAAAAGTAATAATGCATTACCATTGTATTGTGTTGAACACCTCGGGGTGACAAAGTTTTGCGTTGCGCTGCTTTGTGCGTCTCTTCTACATGTTGCATGTACTTGTTGCGCAAATCATACTGAGCCCATGTGCCTGGCGACCTACGCATGCACGCGCACGTGCATGTTTGGATCAGCCGACATGTTTCGCCCCACCGCTCGAAGGCTGCCAGCTCGATCTCGTGCCAGCCTGAGTGGATCGGCAGCCTGACCTCTCACCTCTGCGCGTGGCTGGTCCACTCGCCCCCACCCCCCGCTCCCCACCGTCAGGGATCAGCGGGTTGGTCTTCCACCTCCACACGTGGCTGGCCACCTGAGTCCCCCTCTCCACAGTGAGGGATCAGCGGGTTGGCCTTTCACGTCCGCGCGTGGCTGGCCACCTCAGTCCCCCTCTCCACAGTGAGGGATCAGCGGGCTGGCCTTCCACCTCCACGCGTGGCTGGCCACCTCAGTCCCCCTCTCCACAGTGAGGGATCAGCGGGTTGGCCTTTCACGTCCGCGCATGGCTGGCCACCTCAGCCACTCACCACGGTAGATGGATCGCCGGCACCCTGGCGGCTCGGGTCGGGCCGTAGGGGGAGGGAGGGGGCGCCGGCCGGCGGCATCCGCAGGCGCCGTGGTCGTCGGGTCGACGCCGCTCGTTGGCCAGTGGCTCGGACGTGGGCGGCAGTGGCGGCAGCGTGCGGACTGGCGCGCGATCTCCGGCCGTACGACCGACCGCACAGCGGCACCGCCGCATTCAGACGGCCCTCGGGAGGTCACCGTGAGGTCATAAGTGAGGTCACCGTCTGCCCGGCCACGGACGCCGCCGGCCGGCGCGACACGGAGGAGCGCCCGGTACCGGCCGTCTGCCCCTGACCGACGCGTGAGCAAGGCAGGTGAGGGCCTGCGCTTGCCGAGCACACCGACCAGCTGCGCTGGCGCACCGCGCCGTGTCAGTACGGACGTGCATACAGTGCTAATCTTATCGAAAATTATCCCAAGATGACCGGAGATAATACTCTGCCAAACAAAGACGGCATGCATGCAACAACTGATTTGTATTGCAGGGCACACGCATTGTTTTTGAGAGCCAGCAACGGTCCGTGGCGCGACGCGTTTGAAAAAGCACGGAAATTACAACCTCTGTGGTCATCACAGAGATACTGACAATGTTATCAGACGCGGGGTGTTACCTACGTAGTAGAATGGCGGGAGCACAGCTCCAAATCTTTGTTCTCCAGACAGTATCCATAGGCTCGACTCCTTGACGTGGATGTTCTCTCAACCCTTTTTGGCATGCATAGCCCAGTGTTCCAGTCCGTCAGGACCACCCTATTTATGTTTGTAGTCAGTGGCATGCTGTCTCCTACTTCAGTCTCTGCTACGCATTGCAATGTAATACGATGATTTAATTTACCGGGCTATGCAAATAATTCGCCAATTATTCACATGCCGAACTTGTCGACAAATTTGCCTATCTCGGTTCGCGTAATACTCAGCTCCCACTCTTATAAGAGAGGGTAACACATAATGATGCCTTCATCCATGACGAGAGCATTTGCATACCTCATCTCTTGACAGGGACATGCGGCTTTGATCTGATCATACGGGCAGTGGACCCAGTGTATCCAGAATCTGATATGAGACATATCGCTTGTTAACCAGCATGACCAGAAGGTCCAGTATCTCAATGAGCGGTTGGTTGGAGTGCACCCTATGTTAACATCTCACCTCCTTGACCGGTAAACTGCTTCTGTTCTTGCAGAGCGGTCGCTTGTTCATCGGTGCTAATTCGCGAATTATTGAAATAGATGAGACTCCCAAACAGCACAATCCCAACGAATTTTGTTGTAAAGCCAGCCATGTCTGTTGCACGCGGAACATATAGTTTCCGTGTTTTCCCAGGATATGTCTATCTATCTTTATCTATCTACTATCTAGTTTCGCACACCGGGATCATGAGCATCCCTTACCTGATGTCTAAGTTTGTTGCAACACACGTTTATAGGACGTCCGCACCCTTTTTAATCATAGTGTTACCCAGTTTGCGTCCCTGGCCTCCAAGGAGACCTCCTTCCGATGCTTGCTCCCGACCCCCCGTTGATGTAGCACTACATGTTGGAGAAGGCCGTGGACTGCTTGTCGCGGACATCTGATGTAGCTTTTATGGGGTAATTTCAGGCCATCGCTTATGCCCGATCTGTCTGGCCGTGTCGGGCAAAGTCAGCTCACGTTTCTCCCAAATTTATGGCGAAAAAAACATCCGCGAGGTTACATCGCTGTGCTGTTCAGAACAAAAGCGTATTGCTCAGTTGCCAGATGTAGCCATTTTCCAAATGTCCTTTGGTGATGGAGTTACAACGGCAGCGCCAGATGTCCTTCGGTGATGGACTTACAATGGCAGCTCGGCATGTTCCCATGTAGCGTTTGCTGCCTCTCGACAGCGCTAAATTTCTGCAAGCTCCATCTTTAGTGTTTAAGAGCTGCCTCCAGTGCCCTCAATCAAGTGTTCTCAAATGATTATAACGTACTGAAAATATGATGTGACAATGCCTCGTCTGAAACCAGTCTGTGAGAACGCCAGACTGAAGTCGATCGACACAGAGGCGGAAAATGTCCCGGACGCGAGGGGTCATACGCTGCTGAGGTGTCTATAAGTATGCGTTCAGGTAGCCCAAGATGCCTGATGCCTATAGGCACGCCAGAATACCCCGACTAGCTTCAACCGGGCGTTACGGCCTACTAACAAGGTCAACCAGAAACTGTACTATTTTTGTATTTGAAGGTAATTATACTAGGCAACTGGTACATACAACCAGAAATAAAGAGCGAATATCGCGGTGACGTTACTCTGTACATCTGTTTGCAGCCGTGTCTCGCCTTCTCTTGTCACGTCAAGCATTACCCCGCATTCTGTAACAAGGGCGCTCTCCGACTGGAAGGGCCACGTGTGTGTGCGGTGCTTGCATTGATGCCTTTACCACTGGCATCGTTTTGCGCCATACTCAGCGCCCTAGATTTGGACAAAAGTTTAACTCAGCATTCTAGTTATACATGCTTGATGGTTTCAAGGCTCATCCCGCAGGCGCCAGCGGACCGCGGAGAGGTGCAGTATGTGCACTTAAAGGGAGTGTTACAAATTGATACGGGGGTTTTAAGCTGAATAGCTGTCTTGATGATGACTCGGTGTAGCTCATAGCCTTGCCCTTTTTTAGACCCAAGTCTGTCTAGTTTCAGAGCTACATGCCCGTGAGGATGTGCAAACTACTTGGTGCATGCTATTTCTAAGTTGCCCAGGCATCCATAACGCCATAATAACGTCATTCAAACACGTGTTCAAACATTATGAGAATTGTGCTTCTAAAGCAGCCTTTTCCACTTACGAAGTGCGCCAACAGTTGTAAGTGAGGTGATTTTATCATATGTTTGTTTCGATGTTCTCAAATGTGAAAGATTCCCTTTAAGAATTGCGCTATAACTTACAACGTGAAAATAAGCAAATATCTTAGACTCGCGGATAAGTACGCAAGAAAACCACGAGAAAGGGCCAAAACACGAGCTCATAACGATATTTTGCTCAGCGAGCACTTCAAAACGTGCTGCGATATCTTGGGAGGCTGAAGAACTACAAATGAGTACTAACGGCACGATCAAATAATGACATTTTAAGAAGCATGTTCACTAAATAGAGAAATTGTGTTGTCTAGAACAATCTTTTCCCCTATTATCTCATGCATGTGTTCCAAGAGTATGTTGATAGTCATCAGCGAGCTTGTTTCATCATTTCGTATGCTTCCTTCTTAAATTAGTGAGCTTGTTTCATCATGCCATACGCTTAAATGGAATGTTGAACATTCCCTGTAAGTGGGAGACGCCGGCCTAGATAGAGTGCCGTTATGATGTAAAACTGACAAACGCCTGTCGGTGCGGCACCGCACGGTGTTAAGCGGTGAATATAGGACAGGTTACCGGACCTTTGGTAACGCACACTGGTATTTAGCATGGGGTTTTTGCTTAACAACATTATTTGCATTGTCGCACCGTTTACAGGCCTAGCTGTGAATCAGAAAAATCCGACTATGCGCACGATTTGTAAACGAAACATGCTTACTCACCATGTTACGAGGCTTTCGTTTTCATCTCCTCCTCCTGACCTTTAGTGCTGAGGGGAGCGTGTATTTCGGGCCCGTGTGGTGGGCGAACAGATGTGCGCCTGCTGCGCTGGATGCATATGAACTAGACGCATGGTTATTGGCTGGGTAAAGCGGTTTAAAAGACAGTCTGGAGAGAATCAATTTTTCCTGGTTTCACCCAATCTGTGTCTAAAAGTGTTAAGCTTAAACGACTGTAGATATAAATGCACGCGCCAGAGCTCTTCACGATGTGATAGATCATACTGGGTTGGTTTGGTTATGTGATCTCTTAGTTACAATGATTAGCGGTAAATTAAGTTCAGAACATGGCCAGACCAAATGGACCAAAAATGATGGAAGGGTCTATTGCAAATTTAAGAAGTGCTTTGATATCCTACTTTTAACAACGCCTAAAGGACTGAAACGGATCAGACCCCCCAGTATTTTGTTATAACGAGCCGAGTGGATTATGGGCTCAAAGTTTGTATGCTGAGTTATCGGCCTTCAATATACCAGGAGGTACTGGTTAAGCGATGTTATAGCGTAGACGTTGATTTCGTTGGCAGCATTCGCCCTTTCGAGTAGTGCCAGTGAAGGTCGATAATTCAGGATGAAAACTCTCAGCCTCTCTAGCAAAAAGCGCAGTTGAAGCCATTTCTTGCCTACTTCAAAAGATTTTGTGGGATTAAATTAGACCATTATTCAGTTGTCGAGTTTTAACTGCGCGTCAACTGCCCTGGTTGTTTGCGCCGATTACATAAGATCTTTCTAAAAAGATGGTGCATTAGGAAGATTGGATAAAACAGGTGGATATGAATGCATTGGAATGTATCTTGAAACATGAATGCATGACTAGCTCCAATGAGCATCAGGCAGGTGACAACGGGTATGACCGGGGTGCTGCCGGAAAGTGTGACTCACTAGCAGGTGACACAAAAGACCTTAACCGTTTTCAAGACGTCTCACTGCGCTGAATGTTTCAATACGTAAAGAAATTAGATTTAGGCACAAGTGTTTGTCTGGCTGAGGTAAGTTGCGGGGAACATCACGTGCTCATTTCAAACAATTTGAAACCAGCTGAAACCAACTAGATGCACCAACGCTTAGAACCTTTGTGATTTAGCCCGGTGCCGCCTGATGCGTTTGCTCCCCGCGATCACCTGGCGGCTAGAGGGTATCTGAGATGTACTCCCTGATATTTTAAGACCTAATTGCCTGATCAGAAGCGTAGAAATCCAAACGGCATTCGATCTTTCTGATATAATCTCACGTAAGATTCGATGTGATGACGTCCGACCCATGTTCAGTGAATACATTAAAAAACTTTGAATATATAAACGACTTCAGAACCCTCCTTGTACGGTAGTTTTTATCGTAAGGTTTCGCACTTCGCACCACAAGAGAAAACGTAGTTTTGCACTTACGGAAGATATGGTGTTCACAAAAGAAAAGTTCGAGGTCTGTTTAGATTAAGGTCAGATCACTCATTCCGATCATCTGCCTGCCTGTATGTTTATTTCTTCTCTTTATGATTTACTTAATGAAAAGAAGGCGTGGATTCGTAAAGGAACCTGTCAAACGAATTTGTTTATCAAAACTGGACGTCATAGATCTTATAGCTCGAAGCTTACAATCTGACCCTGATGATGACCTCATGCGGCCTCGTTTAGTTTGGCTGGCCCTGATTGACAGTCATTCAAACCAGTCGATGAAATACATCCAAGCACCCTGCCCCCAAAAAACAACAAAGAATTACTACATAA